ACTGGTGAGAGTCAAGAGATACACTAGTTTTCTCTCTACACCCCCCTGCCCTGTTCCACTATGTTCCATGAGTCTTAGGTATAGAAATTCCACTGTTGATATGTCACCTAGGACAGGACATCTCTCAGATGTATATTCTCTGTATCCGATCAGTTGTGGATTCTGCAGTAGTCTCCATCTGTTGCAAAAGAAGCATCTTTGATGAGTGGTATATACTATACTTGTCTGTAAATATAAGGATCCATATTTAGCATATGTTAAAACATTTCATTTGTCCAGAGATATGATAAAGGGTTTTCTCTAGGATCTATGAACTCTCCAGCCATGTGTATTTAGCTGTGTTTATGGTGTCGCCCATGAGTTCATTCCCATTGAGAGGACTTTAGGTCAACTAGATAGCTGTTGATTACCACCACCACCACCCCTCCCCCAGATAACAGTACCACTATTGCACCAATAGAGATAGTTTGCCGTGGTGGTAATTATGGCTCCCAGCTCAATTCCTGCTCCATTGCTCCAAGTCCTATGTCTGAACTATGTCCTGTCTTCAGTAGTAGGGTCTTGTCTTCCAGTTCTGGGAGATAACCAAGAGCTCTGGCAATAGCCTGTGTTAGTTTGGGAGTCTCTTGAACCACTCTGAACAACCACTTGAAGGGAGGTCTCTCCTGTCTGGCACTGTGTCCTTGTCATACAGTGCCCAGGTATACATATGCATTAATGTTCAGGTGCTATATGTGCTTTTCTCAGGGGGTTTCGGAGGCAACACATTTCCCTCTGACTTCCCTAGTCTTCCAAGATCCCTTCATCTCTGCCCTCTCTCCCCTACATCTGATATCCCTCCTCCCTCCCCAGTCCAAGCACCCCATTATCCCCTCCCTCCCCCCAATAACAACTGCCTCCCATCATCCCCCACTCTCCTGAGTTCCCTCCTCCACTACTGTGGCCCCTGCATGTACTTTCCTCTACCCCTCCCAGCCAAACACTCCCACTTTCCCCACCTCCCCCCTGGTAACATCTCTTCCCTACTGTCCCCCTTTCGGGTTCTTTCTTTTCTTTTACCTCGGTGTTTCCTTTCCATCTTCCTGGCTCCCTGGTGTTATATCAGGATATATACTCACATATGAGGGATTGGTGCTACAATCCACAAATGAGAGAGACTTACTTGCTTTTCTTCATTTGTGTTACTTCACTTAGTATAACAGTCTCTATCTAGTTCAATCAATTTACCTGCAAAATTCATAGTTGAATCTTTTCTTACTGCTGAGTAGAACTCCATTGTGTAGATGTACCACATTTTCATTATCCCTTCATCAGTTGAGGCACATTTAAGTTACTTCCATTCCTTAGCTATTGTGAAGAAAGCAGCAAAAATATGGATGTACAGGTATCTCTACAGTTGGACGAGTTCTTTCAGTATATGTCAAGGAGTGGTATGACTGGATCATGTGATAGATTCATTTTTAATTTTTTGAGAGTTCTCCACACTGCTTTCCATAGTGCTTACACAAGTTTGCATTCCCACCAGTAGTGAATGAGTGTTCCCCTTTCTCCACATCCTTACCAGCATTTGATGTTCTTCATCCTCTTGATCTTAGCCAGTCCGACTGGGGTGAGATGGAAACTTAAAGTGGTTTTTATCTGCATTTCTCAAATGTATCAAAAACCTCAATATAAAACCCGAAACTCTGAAACTGCTAGAAGAATATATAGGCAGTATCCTCCAAGATATAGGCATAGGAAAGAACTTTCTAAATCAGACATCAGCTGCTCAGGCATTAAAGTCAACAATCAATAAGTGGGACCTCATTAAGCTACAAAGCTTCTGTACAGCAAAAGAAACAACCAAGGAAATGAAGAGGAAACCCACTGAGTTGGAGAAAATCTTTAACAGCTACACATTTGACAAAGGAGGATCAATATCCCGAAGATACAAAGAACTCAAAAAACAAAAACAAAAACAAGAAAATAAATGATCCAATAAAAAAAATGGGCTGGAGAGATGGCTCAGCGGTTAAGAACACTGGTTGTTCTTGCGGAAGACCAGGGTTCAAATCCCAGCATCCACATGGCAGCTAACAACTGTCCACAACTCCAGTTCCAGGGGATCCGACAGCCTCTTCTGACCTCCGCAGGCATTGCACGACACGGGTGCACTTACCTACATGTAGGCAATACATGCATACACATAAAATAAAAATAACAAATAAAAAAATGAGCTATAGACCTGAACAGAGAGTTCTCAAATGAAGAAATAAAATGGCTAAGAAACACCTTAAGAGGTGCTCAACATTTTAGTTATTAGAGAAATGCAGAAAATATTTTTAATAAAATCATAGAAAAAATTTGCCAAATCTAGGAAAAGAGGCATACAGAACACCAAGTAGTTAGGGAAAAGAAACTCCCCATGTCATATAATAATTCAAAATCTTAATGTACAGACTGTGATGGAAGAGGACAGTGGATGCCCTCCTCTAGCCTCTGGGCACATGCACAAGTATGTGTACCCACACACATGTGTACATATAACACACACTATAGATAGATGATATATATAGATATATAGATAGATGATAGATAGATTGATGATAGGTAGATGATAGATAGATAGAGATAGATGATAGATGAGAGAGAGAGAGAGAGAGAGAGAGAGAGAGACCAGTTTAAAATGTAATGTAACCATAAAAACCTGCCATCAGTGCATGGAGCATTCTTGGAAGAGGAACATACATGGTTCATAGTCACACGAAAGCCTCCTAACAATCAGAGAACTAAAACTCAAAGAGAACTGAAGTTAAAAGTACCATTCCACTGAGTATAATATGGTAATATTGAGTGAGGGGAGTGAGAGATGTGGGAAGAGACTTTAAAAACTATAACTTTTCAGGGATGGAGAGATGGTTCAGCTCTTAAGAGCACTGGCTGCTCTTGCCGAGGTTTGGTTCCCAGCACCCACATGGCAGCTAACAAACATCCATAATGCCATTTCCAGGGGATCCGATGCCCTTTTCTGACCTCCACAGGCATTGCACAATATACGTACACTTACATGCATACAGGCAATACACTCATATACATAAAATAAAAAATAAATAGTTTGAAAAGGTTAAAAACTGTAACTTTACAGCATGATATGTTTATGTTGGATGCTAAGCTAAGTGGGCTTCCATGGAAAATATGTCCAAGACATACAATCCTAGTACGCACTCAAAAGGTGGAAACAAGATCAGGTGCTGCAGGCCAGCCTCAGCTACACAAATTTGAGACTAGATTGGGCTACATGGGACCCTGCCTCAAGAAACAAAACAAAACTGTGGGGTCTCTCCCTTTCCTCGTGGGCCATCGGCCACCGGTCCAAAGGACAAAGGGAGCAGAAGCAACGAACGGGGTCAGGACGGCCAGTGAGCACTGACGGAAGAAAGCCCTTCCACGGAGGCAGATTCAGTGATACAAACAGCTCCAGGCTCAGTGAAACAGCTCTGTTTATTCAGTGGGGGTTAGGGAAAATATGGTGTAGAGGCAGTAGCCAATGCTTTAGCTGATAGGTGCTCATAGTATGTTTTATTTACATGTGGTAGTGGGCTCCTATCATCCGACTATCGGCAATGCCTAATTATCATATAGAAAAAACCTGGGGGTAGTTTTTACTCCAGGTAACTATGCCAAAGGTCATGTTCCAAATAAGGTCAGGCATCCATGCTTGGCGGCACTTTCCAGGTAAGTCAAGCAGAGAGCAGGAGGCCCCCTGTTGAGAAGGGGAGTCCTTCCATATAGCACCGAGCTCCTTAGAGCTATCCAGACATGGAGGATTACAACCCTAGCAGCAGGGTTCCCCAACACAAAACAATTTAAAAAACAACAAAATGAGTTTCTTTATTGCACTTTGATACATGTATATGTAGTTAGAATTCCAACTCATGGATATTGGAAGGGATCCAAACATTCATTCCATGACACTCTAAAATATACTGGAATGCACTGTCAAGTTCATGGGAGATTTGTAACTCTAGGAAACCATCACATCTCAGGCAGAGCAGGAACTGACTGTAAAAAAATGTAACTCAGTCAAGACCCTTCCCTTAGATTACTATAATGATGTCTGTCAGGTGATTCTGTGTGTGTGTGTGTGTGTGCGTGTGTGTGTGTGTGTGTGTGTGGCTGTGTGTGGGGCTGTATGTGTGCCTGTGCAAAGGCCGGTGGTAGACGTCAGATGTCTTCCTCCATCACTGTCCATGTTCTTTATTAACACAGAACTCAGTGATCCTGGAGCTAACTGACAACTACCTAACTGACAAGCCCCAAGAATCCCTTGTTTCTGCCTCACCAGTACCAGTGTTACAGGCATACACCCCTGTACCCAGATTTTACATGGTGCTGGGGATTTGAACTCAGGTCTTCATCTTGCGCAGCAGGCACTTTGTAAACTGAGCCATCTCTCCAGCCTTGTCAGTTCTTTCTTTCCCTGTCTCCTAGAAAGCTATTGAATACACAAATGCAGAAACACAGGCTGTGTTGCCATCGAGAGATGGGTCCTGCTGAGCCAATTCAGTTCTCAAAATGGACTTTGCACTGTGGCAAGCAGATTCCATACACTAGGAATCTGGAGCAACTTAATGAGCTTCACATGAGTAATAGCACCTGAGGAAGGAGAGTGTGTCACTTGATATTTCCTAGAAAGTTCTGACAAGTACATTAGCTACTTGGGCGACTCCAGGTCATGAACTTCCTGTTCCCAGTGTCAGAAAGATGTTGGGCTCATCTCCCTGATGAACAGCACCGTGGGGTGAGTTTAGGTGGGGTAGTCTCAGCTGTGCGCATCTGGCCCTGGGAAGAGGCAAGTGGAGGTCAGACTGAGAGTCTGCCCACCTGAGGCTTGTTTCAGTCAGAGCCTGATGGGCTGAGGGTGGAAATCCCCCCAAACGCTGCCCTCATTGGCCAAGCCTTTAAGTTCAGAGCAAGCTGGAGGAGAGAAAGGAGACTGAACGTGTGCTCAGCCAGATGAGATGGAGATCCATTTGCCTGCAGTGCCCCTGGCAGAAATCTTCAGCTATCTGGACGGCTTCAGCTTGCTCCAGGCTGCCCAGGTGAACAAGGTAAAGACTCTCACCGTCCCCTGCTGTCTAATTGACCAGCTCCTTGCCTTGCACTCCTCCACTTGTATGTTCCTGCATGAGGCCCCTTTGGTCTTTCACTCTCAGCCATGGAGTCTCAGCTCCCCCAGCCTCACATCACACAGCCTTCCTTCATTCCTGCCTACATTTACGTTATTCAGACCTATCCATCCAGTGAAGGCACACTAGCGTCTCCAGGCTCCAGTCACTTTTCTTGACCAATAAGCACCAATCAGCAGAGTTACAAAGTGATATATTGAAGATTTATGGGTTAGTATCATCCATTCTGAGGGCATCAAATCCTGGGAAATATGTTGAGAGTGGTGGTCCATGCCTGTAATCAAAGTACTTAGGACATTAGAAGCAAGGGAATCAGTACTGAAAGGTCATAATTCATTACATGACCAGTTTGAAGCTAGCCTGGGGTACATGAGATCCTATCTCAAAACATTAACAACAACAATCATAACAGAATTCTGTTAAATGAAAAGGACAAGCTCATAGATGCAAATTGTGTTGCCTAAATTCTCCTGGAGGCTCCTATTTCAAGCCTTTGGAAACCAGCCCTCCTTCCTCTGAGCTCTCACAGGATGGCAGCTTCCCTGCATAAGCAGGAATAGGTCTCTCAGGCTAGCTGGGTCTTGAGAGCTGGGGTTGTGCTTGATGAACCTGTTGGGTCCAGCCCAGAACAAGTGAGAGCAGGGAGAAGCCCGTTTTGAGTATTGCTTGCGGCCTTGCCTCTTTCTCTCCCATAGAGCTGGAATGTGGTCGCAGACAGGGAGAGCCTGTGGAGGTAAGGAAAGGGGCAGGGTGAGGAGGGAAGGGCAGGGCGGGCCATCTCATTGTGCACCTGCACCTGTGGTGTGGGGGATGCACCCGGGAAGGTCCGCCTGAGGAAAGGTTCTTGCCAACAGTGGATGAGAGTGAACTGATGAGGAGGTGAACTGACAGGTCAGCCTGATGGGACTGTGACTCTTCCTTGCAGGAGGCTGTGTCTGAGGAAATGGTGCTTCGGTGACGTCACCCGGGAACACCTGTGCACACAGCTATGGCAGCAGCTGGGCGCGCAGACCTGGAAACAGTTCTTCCTCCACCGAACAAGGCAAGAACGCTGCATGGAATGGGCTCGGCTGGATGACTTCATCTACCGAGAAATAGCTGGGGACTATGGTATGGAGACATGCATCCTAGAGTAGAGGTCCTGTATGCAGTCCTGTATTCTCATTCAATAAAAGGATGGGAAGTTAAATTCAAAGGGTCTGTTTCCTGTGATAGCCATGGAACCCACAATGATTCTCCCTTGTGGTCTGCTGAATAAAAGAGTCAGAGAGTTCATGTCATAGCATAAAGTCAGTCTTGCCACTTTCCTTTTCAAAATCTTCCTACACCCTCCTAGAATAAAAACAGAGAGAAAATGTATTGGGCAAATTCCTAAGCAGCATAAGCTCTAGGGTTTATTTTATCCCCAAACCTTTTAATACTAGGGATGGTTTTCTGATGGAGAAAGTGTTTTCTAAAAATATTGATGATGATGATGATGATTGTGTGTGTGTGTGTGTGTGTGTGTGTGTGTGTGTACAGGGGCATGCATGCCACAGCATGTTTGTGAGGGTCATAGAATTATTTTTTGTATATTTTATTGAATTTTTGTGTATTTCATGAAAAACATCTTCATCATATTTGTATCCCCTCCCCCATGTGTCCCTTTCTATAGTCCCGCCCACCAGATACCATGCATTCTGTTATTTATGTTAAGGCCTATTGAGTCAAGTTAGTATACCCAGATGTCCCTCATTGTAAGTTCACGCACTGGGGTCTAGTCAGCCTATCTACAGTCTGTCCTTTAAAGAAGATCAACTCTCCCTCACCTAGAAGTATCACCTGCCAATGGTTCTTTGGCTAAGGTTGGGGCCTGCTGCCCATTTTCCCAATTCTATGCAGGGTTTTTGTCTGCTTGAATTTGCATAGGTCTTGTGCATGCTGATACCATTGCTGTAAGTTCAAGTGAGCAAGGTCCCAGGAGCCTATAAGACTCTTTCCATATGGTCATGCACCTCCTCCCCTGGCTCTTACAGTCTTTCCACCCTTCTTCCGAAATGGTCCCAGAACCCTGGGTTGGTGAAGTTTAATAAAAGAATCCTGTCCAGAGACCCACATTCTGTAAACTTTTATTCAGAGAACAATTTTGTAAAACCAGTTCTCCTGATGGAAATATTATTCTATCTTGTTTGTTTTTTATTTTTAAATTTTATTTATCATTTTTTAAAATATTTTATTTTATGTGTATGAGTGTATTGCCTGTATGTAAGTGCATGTGTGTCATGCCTGTGGAGGTCAGAAAAGGGCGTTGGATCCCCTGAAACTGGAGTATGGAGGGTTGTTTGCCTCCATGTGGGTGCTGGAAATTGAACCAAGGGCCTTTGCAAAAGCAGCCAGTGCTTTTAACCACGGAGCCATCTCTCTAGCCCTTGCTTCTTTTCTTGACACAATATCTACCTGTAGCCCCAGCTGGCCTGGAACTTGCTCTGTAGACCAGACTGGCTTGATCTCATAGAGATCCTCCTGCTTCTGCCTCCCTAAGTCCTGGGATTTAAACCATGTGCCACCATGCCTGACAATTCATTTGTTTTAATTTTATGTGTATGAGTGTTTTGCCTGCATGTATGTAAGTTCACCCATGTCATTCAATGCCCTTGGTGACCAGAAGAGTTCATTGGATTCCCTGGAACTTGAATTAAGTACAGTTGTTACCCACCATATGCTGGGAACTGAACCTGGGTTCTCTGCAAAAGCAGCAAGTACCCTTAAATGTGAAACCATCTCTCTAGCTTCCCTTTTTATTTTTATTTTATTTCATTTTTTAATATTTTACTTATTTTTTTAAATCTTTATTGTATGAGTGTATTTCCTACATGTGTGTGAGTGCACCTGTGTTGCGCAATGTCCATTGAGGTCAGAAGAACATCAACCCCCCTGGAACTGGAGTTATGGAAAGTCATTAGCCACCATGTAGGTGCTGGGACTTGAACCTGGGTCCTCTGCAAGAAAATCAGTGCTCTTACCGCTGAGCCATCTCTCTAGCCCCTAAATACAAGGTGTTATGTATCCCAAACTGGCCTTGAATTCACTATGTAGGAAGTTTAAAGGGTGCTACAAGGAATCCAACCTATGATCTCATTCTAGGCAAACACTCTACCACTTGACTATCCCCAACCCTCTATAGCCATTCCATAGCTATAGAAACAGACTAAAGGGGAAAACAATATCTGGCCACATAGTCAGCCTGCAGCTTGCTTGGTTGACTCTTTCTCCAGCCTGCTCACAGTTGTTACCCAAACCATTCTATGATGATACATCAAAGATTAAAAAGGTACCTTTATTTGTTCCTGGTGTGGTGGCACAGGCCTTTAATCCTAGCACTTGGGAGACAGAGGCCAGCCTGGTCTACCTAGCAAGTTTCAGGTCAGCTGTGACTAGAGGGAGACCCTATCCCACAAAACATACATATCTTTATTTGATTTGAATCATCCCTCACCTATCTAGCGGCCAAGTATTGTTGGGGGTTTTTGCAGGAGACTTTGGATTTGTGAAGTATCTCTCAGGAAGTGGTCTCACCATGGATGGACAAGGGAAGTCCATCCTCTGCACGGTGTCTGATAAGGGCACACTTTCTACCTGGGATGCACAAGAGGTGAGTCTGGCCAACAAGTAGCAAAAATTCCACAGACCCGTGTCCATTCTGTGAAACACAAAACAGTGCTGAGAGGGAAAAGGACACGGGGAATGCTGGGAATCCATACCAGAAGCAAAGTTTCAAAACAGGTGAAATTTATAACTTTTCCATTTAGACCATAGACATGTGAGAATTTGCTTTTATTATAGTTATTAACACTGTAATTACACAAAAATCATGGGATTCACTGTGATACTTGCATAACGATCTCCAGTTCCACTCGTTTTCTGCAAATGGCCTGGTTGCATTCCCCCTCATGGCTGACTCGCATTCCCCCGCTGTGTGTACATCATGTCTTCATTATCTACTCCCCTGTTGGTCCCATGCCTTCACTGTTGTGACTAGAATGGGAATAAGCATGAGCTCGTGGTTTTCTCTTTAGTATTTGACTTCATTTCCTTAACAAATATGCCTACTAGGCTATATCTGGATATAGGATAGTTCCATTTGTAGATTTTGGCACATTTCCATAGTGAATCAATAACAACTGCACCAGTTGATATTCCCACTACTGTGAAAGACTGCCACCTCCATATCCTCAACATCATTTGATATATTTTTTCTTTTTTTTATTATAGCCATTCTAACCAAAGTGGGATAGCATTTCATTATTGCTTTGATTTGCAATTTCCTGATGATTAATGACATTCGGTATGCTGTTATGTATTTATTAGAAATTAATGTTTCTTTTTATAGAAGTACCCGTTGAGATCATTTACCCATTTTTAAGTTGATTACTTAGTTTTTGATGGTATGTTTTGGATTTTTGTTTCTTTAAATTTTATTTATTATTTAATGTATATGTGTGGTTTGCCTTTGTGTACATAAGCACACCATGTGCTTGAAATGCTCAAAGACACCAGTAAAGGTGTGGGACCTCCTGAAACTGGAATTACAGATGGTTGTTAGAAATTACATGTGGGTGCTAGAAACTGAACCCAGGTATCTGCAAGAGCAATCAATCCTCCTAACTGCTAAGCATCTCTCCAGCCCCTGGTTTTTTTGTTTTATTAAGACAAGTTCTGGTGTCTCTCAGACTGGTATCAACTGGTTATGTAGCTGAGGTGATCTCGAGTTCCTGATCTTCCTGCCTCCACCTCCCATGCTCTGGGATTATAGGCTTGTGCCTGCCCTCTGTTTTCTCATGGATTTCTTTATTTCCTTTTACAAAATTATAAAAGAATTAAACTGGTGGGATGAAAGCACAGTGCATATGCAGAGATGCTTGGATGCAGTACTGCTCTTACTCCCTAGGGTATTATGATCTGGTCAAGCCCAGTCCAGCAGAACTTCATTAACAATCTGGCTACCCTCCCTGAGATGCAGCTTGCCATCACTGCTGACATGGAAAGAACCATCAAAGTGTGGAACTGTTGTGATAGGGATGCTGTGGCCACTCATATCATGCCCCATGAATGTTTTACTTTGAAAGCTTTTCTTACAAAGGATGGCCCGTTCCTATTGGTAAGTAACCCCAAAATCTGGAGTAGGTGCACAGAACAAAATGCCTTCTGCCTAGGCAGCCCATTGCTGTCCAGTCTCAGCCATTTTGTAGCCATTCCTGCTTACCTGAGAGTCATCACAATGTACCAATCAATGTTGACCCTAGAAACTTCCAGACAATCTTGGCCTTTGACCTACCTCACATATATTTTGCCAGTTATTCTCCTAAAAACAATAAATTTTTCTATATACATGGGAGATTGTTCAGTGGGTAAAGTGCTTGCTCTGCAAGCAAAGGGACCTAAGTTCCAACCCCTAGAATCGAGATTAAAAAGTGGGGTGGGGCTACATGTGCCTGTAACCTCATGACCCTCTGAAGGATAAGTGAGGAAGACAGAAGGATCAAATGGACCTGCTGGCAAACAGCCTAGCTCCAGGTTCAATGAGAGACTGTCTTACAGGAATAAAGTGGAGAGTGCTAAGGCAGGACACTTGGGAACCTCTCTGGCCTCAATGTGTGCACAGGCATGCACAGTTGCATGCATACCTGCATACATATATTTGAATATACAACACACTTTCATGAATTATTTCATATCTGTGTTGTGTTTCAAAGATTTCTTACTATTAAGTCCATATACTTGGACTGGGACAATGGAACGAAAGATGGAGATTTTGTCAAACATTCAGGAAAAAGATACTGTTGATGTCCCAGTGAGTCCTTGGGAAGAGCATTTTGAGGTTTATAAAGTCTTTGTTTCTTTTTAATTTTACTTATTATTTTTATTTTATGTGTATAAGTGTATTGCCTGAATGTATGTAAGTGCATTCGTGTCATGCAATGCCCACAGAGGTCAGAAGAGGGAGTCAGATCCCCTAGAGCTGAAGTTACAAATGGTTGTTAGCCACCATGTGGGTGCTGGGATTTGAACCCAACTCTTCTGCAAGAACAGCCACTGCTCTTAACCACTGAGCTGTCTCTCGAGTCCCTAAAGTCTTTATTTTTAATTGTATGTGTGTGTGTATGTGTGTGTGTGTGTGTGTGTGTGTGTGTGTGTGTGTGTGTGTGCAGGTATCTATAGATTCTAGAAGAGGATGTCAGATTCCTTTGACCTGAAGTTACAGGTGGCTGTAAGCAGACTGATGTGGGTATGGGGAAGTGAACTAAGGTCCTCTGCAAGAACACTACAAGCTCTTACCCACTGAACCATTTGCCAGCACTAAAATGTCTTCTTCCATGGGATCTTGCCAACCATCTGTGAGGCAGGTTGCTCAGAGATTTGGATCTCTTTCATGGTATTGAAGAAATGGTGGAGTATCTCAGAGCTGACAGCACTGCCTCCATTGTACTTGAGGATTTCATATGTTTTTCTACTGACAGGTGCTGATGCTTTGGTTTCAGGTGGGCGATTATGAGGGCGACATCTACACATTTATAATTCCATCATTATGGTGTGTTTCTAAAGTCAAAGCATTTGAATATCCCGTTCAATTCTTACACTGCTCTCCTGATAACAGATGGGTCTTTACATCTAAGCTGCATGAGAGCATCTTGCCAAAGGTAGGTGCTATTCTGGGAGCTTCAACTTCAGGATGGGAGGGGCAAGTTAGGATGAGTCAGAGGAGCTCCAGACCTCAAGGAGGCTCAGGCATCATGCTTCCTCTCCTCTAAGACTAGCACAAGCAGAAGCCCTTCCTAGAGTCAGAATACAAAGCTCTGGAGACAGTCATGTTCAGTCACAAAGGCAAATGTTTATTAATGTGTTTGTGAAGGCTAGCCCAGACAGAAGATAAAAGAAGGTGAGAGAGGTATCAAGAAGGGAGGGTCCCTGGAAATCTTTACTTTTGCTTTCTTAACTTTCCTCTCCCTTGACTAGAAAGTAGAGAAATGTCCAAAGGCAAATAAATGTGTATCGGCCCTGAAAAAGTTCTGTCTCTGAGCAGCTCATCTGCCTCATAGTACCTGTGGACTGGGCACCAATGAACAAGGAGTTAAAAGGGAATGTGATAAAAACAGTGCTGGATATAGTGGCACAGGCCTGTAATCCCAATACTGGGGGATGGATTCTGGAGGGAAGGGTTTAAATCTAGTGGAAGAAAATTGCTGTGAGTTTAAGGCTATCCTGGGCTATGCAGTGAGACCCTGTCTCAATGACTCCAGATTTAAAAGAGAAAGAAACAAAACAAAACAACAACAACAAAAAAAAAAACCCAGCCCTTAGACTATTTGACTAGTCCTTTGAGAAGGGAAATTCTACTTAACCAACCTCAGTCTGATGAAGAGTCCTATGTGGCAGGATAAATGTATAACCCTGTTGTCTACATCAGGAATCCATTCTATCTGAATATGACAGGGACAGAAACGCTGTGAGTTACTCACATACTGAGTGAAGGCAGTGACTGCTCAGCCCTCCCTGGGATGATGAACAGAGCCAGTCACACAAGGATTCCTTCCTAAGGACACACCTGGAGTCACTCATGTGCCAGGCTGCTGTAGTATCCGTCTTCACCAACTCCCCATGTGCTACTCTCTCCGCAGGTGTATCTAACGGAATGCTTACTGAAACCATCAGAGTACTGCTCCCCTCTGTATGCCTGTCTCCCATTTCCATTATGCTTCAAAGCTTGCTGGACCCCAAGAAGGGAAAACAGAATAACACTGATGTACCGGACACACACCCACAAATTCATAGGATTTATCACCTTTGATCTAAGATTGGAGAAGAATGGGAACAAAGAACGTGTCTTAGGTAGGCCTTGATACCTTAGAAAGACTTCTCAAGCCATGCATAGTTGTGAAACCCCATAATTCCAGCTCTCAGCAGGCCAAGGCAGAAAGATAAGTTTGTGACCAACTTGAGCTGTATAGCAGGATCTTTTCTCAAAAAAACCCAAAAATGGAGCTGGTGAGATGGCTAAGTGCACACACACATAGAATAATAATAACTTTTTTAAAAATGAAAACTGTATTATTATAAACAATAAAAACTTCATTAGCAAGATTGCTAAGTGAGTAGGAATACTTGCCATCAAGCTTGATGACCTGAGTTCAATTCCCTGGGACCCACATGCTAGAAGGAGAGAATCAACTTTATCAAGTTGTCCTCTGGCTTCCACATGCATGCTGTGGCATATGTGCCCATGCCCATACACACAGAAGCACATAAACACAGTAAACAAATAATGTTAAAACAATCATTTAAAAAAGAAACATTCACTCCCTATCCCTCAGCCACTTACTTTAAGCCAAAAATATTTTTAAATGTCAGTCTCTGTAAAGGTACCAGAGGGGTACCTTAGCTGGGTGTGAACTCGTGCCTATTTGACTCTCATACTCAGAAGACCACTATACCCTGCCCTTTGGGAAGACATATTTCAGATACATCATGTATTAGGGTCTGGGTTCCAATGTCCTTTCCCAGTATAGGCATTTTCCCAACTTGTTTTAAAATTTTTATTGAGCTTTTGTACGTTTCATACAACTATTCTTAATCAAATTTAGACCCCCTCCATCATCCATGCCCCTCCCCACCAGACCTCCTGTATTCTGCTATACATAGGAACTATTGGAGACTGATTACTACTGGGTGAGGGATAATAGGCCTTACTTATAATCTCTAGATAGGCTGACTAGACTCCAGTGGATGAATTTGCACTGAAGGACATCTGGGTACAAATGCTTGGCTGGATAGGACTTAACATGTATGGAGGAATACATTTTTCCATTGTTTGAACGGCTACTGATGGTCCACAAGTATTCCTGTGTCATAGCACACCTTACCATGGTCAATGGTATGGATTTGTGAGACCCCTGAACTATCTTCATTGTTCCACCAGACTGGAGTCCCATGGAAAGAGAGTATGTTTTCATTCAATGTTTAGTTATTGCTCTTACTAAATTATTCTAAAATGACGTGCATGTTTACATGTATGTGTTTTGTATGAAAACAGCACAGCAGATTGCAAACTTCCTGTTGCCACCTCATATAGACTTTCCAATGCTCATGGGCATCAGTGATGAAAATGTGATTGTCTTTGGGAGTGGGCCATATCTGTTCCTCTACACCATTGATGGCCTCCAGCTGCATCGATTTGACAACCACCAGAACGACATCACAACCTTATGGGTGGTATGTGGGATGCTTCCCTTCTCTGTGTGTGGTTTATCTGTTTAGTGCCTTAAATTTTTTCTATTATCACTCTGTGTGTGTGTGTGTGTGTGTGTGTGTGTGTGTGTGTGTGTGTCCCTTTATGATGTGGCACATATGTGAAGGCCAGAGGATAACTTTGAGGAGTTGGTTCTCTCCTTCCACCTTTATGTGGGTTTTAGGGATCTATCTCAAGGTGGTCAGGTTTGCATACTAAGTGCCTTTACCTGCTGAGCCATCTTACTGGCCCTCTCCCTGTGTTTTGATCTGATCTAAACTTGACTCCTGTTCACTCACATCTGGGTGTCCTTTGAAGGATTCTCTCCATGTCCTCGCCACATCTCAGGATGGTTCTCTGCATGTATACATGTGGGAAGAGGGAGGCCGTCACCTCAAGAGCTGCTGTCATCTGGAAAACATGAAGAGTCTGCCACCACACTGGTAAGCCCTGCTTTGTGACTCAAACTTTATCTTAATTTTTAAAATTTCTACATAAAAATGAATGAAGAATAATATAATTTTTGAGAATCCTGTGGATATATGTGAATAAATCTGTGATCCCCAGCACTACATAAAATGAGGTGTGCTTTGTGCATGCCTGAAATTCCAACACTTAGGAGGTAGAGGCAGGAGGATCAGAAGTTCAAGATCATCCTGAGCTACATATTACTATGTTTGAAGCCAGCCTGTGCAGTAGACCTCAAAAGGCTTTCAGGTGCTTCAGTTTACACTCAGTTTGCACAAGGAGGAAAGGAGAGATGGTGCCCTCATGTTTCACCTTTACTTGCAGTATTTGTGACTTTTTGAGTTCCAGTTCCCACTTGTGTTGCTTTTTTGTTGAGTTGTCTTTGTCTCCTTCTAGCTAATTTTTCCCTTGGGCTACTTGTCTTCATCCAAATTATTTAGCATGAGCAAGGTATGATGCTGCTGACCTGTAATCCCAGCACCAAGGAGACTTGAGGCAGAGAATTGCAAGTTTGAAGCCAGCTTGGGCTCTCGAGAGTTTGAGCCAGCCTACACAATTTAGCGAGATCAGAAAAACTTTCCCTTGATTTGCGTGTGTGTGTGTGTGTGTGTGTGTGTGTCTGTGTGTCTGTGTGTCTGTGTGTCTGTGTATGTACTAGATCTAGAACTCAAATCTTTCATGTGCTTTACAAATGTTTTCTTTCACATTATTCCTCTTCCTCTTATCTTTATATTGCTTTGAGGGGGGCAACATCTAACAAATATATGTACATAGAGCCTTTGAACTGCCAATGCCCCCTCCAATGAATTTATTTTACATGTGTGCCTCCAATGATTAAAACATACTAACTGAGAGCTGAGGACTTGGCTCAGCTGGTAGAGTGCTTGCCTAGTGAGCAAGAGGCTAGTTTCTTTACCAGCAATGCATAAACTGGGTGTGTGGTAGCACATGTCTATAATCCCAGCACTTAGACAGAATCAAGAAAATAAAGATTTCAAGTTCATCCTCAGAGACCAGCCTGAAACATATGATTTCCTGTCTCAGAAAGGAAGAAAGAAAGAAAGAAAGAAAGAAAGAAAGAAAGAAAGAAAGAAAGAATACAAGAAAACCTACTAGGTATTTATTGCAGTATTGTGAGGGATGGCCTGATGCTGGAAAATACAAACTATTCAAACATCAGACATTTTTGAGGGCCAATGAGTTGTCTTAGCAGGTAAGGGTACCTGCTGCCAAACCTGATAACCTGATTTTGAGAGCTAGAATCTACATGGTAGAAGGAATTTAGCCAGACATGGTGGCAATTGCCTTTAATCCCAACACTCACAAGGTGGAGGCAGAGGCAGGCAGATCTCTGTGAGTCTGAGTCTAGTTTGCTCTATAGGTCTACAGAGTGAGTTCCATGCCAGTCAGAGCTACAAAGTAAGGCACTGTCTCAAAATATTCAAAAATGGAACATTTAAGTTATTATATATCCAAACAATGAAATATTGTGCCACTTTTATTAATAAAAATGGAAAAATATCTATGCTAGAATAAGATATTTCTGGTGATTTTGAAGCCAAAAATATTTTAAATACATATAATGACACTTGGCAGACATTTCCCTCCATTTTTTCTCTCTGTATCCTACCTAATAATAATAAACACTTATTTCTTTAAAAAATTTAACCATGTCCCCTCCTCAACTGCACAACAATCTTTTCTCCCTCTGAATAATTTTTAAAGATTTATATGTATTTTTAATTATGTGTGGGTGTGTTTGTGTATATGTGCACATATATGTGCTTGTGTCTGCAGAGGCTAGAAGAGGGTTCCCCATCACCCAGAGCTGGAGTTACAGGTGGTTGTGAGCCTCCTGACATGGGTGCTGGGATCTGAACTCAGGTCCTCTGGAAGAGCAGCAAGCACTCTTAACTGTTGAGCCATCTTTCCAGTTCTCCAATGAATATTTTAATAAAACAGGGATATTTTATGTCCAATAATGTCCAATTGTCTGACACACAATTTGGGAGAAAAACACAAAGTTCTATAATCAGAAACACAGTCAAACCACAAAATGTCACCAGTTTCCTCTGTCCCATTGCAACCCATCCCTTTTCTAGCACCAGACAACCACCGATTCATTTTCTGACCCTCTAAGTTATTCGGCTATATTTTTAAGTTTTCTTTCTGTGTGTAAACAGAATGAGTCTGTATCCCTCTTGGCTGGCCTCTTTCAATGAGCATGGTGTTTTGAGGCTCACCGTGCTGTGGGCAGCAATAGTTCACTCCTCTGCGTGGCTGAGCAGTGTTCCAGTGTGCAGAGCTTCGTAGAGGACAAGGACATTTACCTTGTTTCCAATTGGAAATAGTGAGAATAGATTTTTGTGTGTATTTGCCTAAAGAGTTTGTCTTTAAAAATTGTTATAATTGTTAGAGTTTCATTGTTGTTTTGAGGCAGGGTGTCATAGATCCCAAGCTGGCCTCAAACTTGATATCTAGACAAGGATGACCTTGAACTTCTAATCCTCCTGTCTTCACGGTGCTAGGATTTGTGCCACCATGCCTGGCTTATGCATTGTTGGAAGTGGAACCAAGGGTTTCATGCAGGCTAAGCAAGCCCTTTACCAACTGAACTATATCCTCAGCAACCTTAGTTGTTAGTTTTGGATTTAATTTATGTCCGTTTTGAATTAAGTTTTATAAGGGCAAGATAAAGAATATATGTGTTTCCTTAACATTTTGTTTGTAATTTTTTAATTGAACACTTTAAATTTCATTCATTTCCCACTCAAATGCAGAACCCCCCTCCCCAGTCCATGCCTACCCTTATCCCCCCACCGAACCCCATGCACTCTGCCATACATGCTGAGTCCTATTCATTCAGGTGTTTGTATCCAAATGTCCTTTAGTGTAAATGCGTTCACTGGAGTCTAGTCAGCCCATCCAGTGGTCATATGCTAATTTTTGAGAAAGGATCTCACACTGTGGTTCAAACCAGTCTGGAACCTACTTTTTAGCCAAGGCTAGCATTCAATGTAATCGTCATGACTCAAAAGCTGGCATTACACTTCCAGACACTTTAACATTGATCTCAATTTCTTTAAATATACACCCAGAAGTGGTATTGCTACTGTAGTTCTGACTTTAGAGTTTTGAACAATTTCCACTGTGTTCCAAAGTGGCTGCATCAATTTATATTCCACACAGCAGTGTACAGGGTTTTTTCTCCTCATCTTTGTAAATACTTGTTACTTTTAATCTGCTGCACAAATCTACTCTAACAAATGATAGATTATATCTTATTTTGGTTAAATTTTGTTTTTCCCTGATGTGAGATACTATTTTTCACTAATTTGTTGCTCATTTACATATTTTTTGTTGTTACTTTTGTTGTTTTGACACAGGGTCTCATGTCTTCCAACCTTGCTTTATAGTTAATATCTAGCTGAGGATGGCTTTGAACTTCTGATCCTCCTGTCTCTGCCATGCTATGATTTGTATGTTCTGTAGCTGAGGCTGGCCCTGAATTCCTGATCCTCTTGCTTCCACCTCCCAAGTGCTAGAGTTGCAGGTATGCACCACCATGTCCAGTGAGAAATATCTCTTCATGTCATTTTCTCATTTTACTTTCTAGGGCTATTTTGTTGTTACTATTGAGCTCCTTGTATATCTTGGATACCTGCTCCTTGTTTGATGTATTGTTCTGTTTTAGTTTATTAAGTATGTAGCAAGCAAAAGTAAAAGAGCAAATAACAAGTAGCAGAGAAACAGCAAACATCACCAAATCAGGTGTTTACAGCATCCAGCAGAAATGGCTAAGGGAAACCCCCAGGCAGCCGGAGTTCCACACTGAGAGTCTTGGGCAGAGCAGAGTGAGTTCTCCCAGATGATTTTCTAGTCTCTGGTTCCCACCTCAGAGATTTTTATACCATAGGATCAGCTATCATAACCTCTATTGGAGCTGGTTTATCTTCTAGCTATTCTGAAGGTTATAGTGTTTTCAATATCTTTAACTGTTTGCTGTTCTCCTTTCTCCCTGTTATGGGGTCAGGAGACCAGCCTGCCCCAAGACAGGGAGAGCTGGGGGGCACTTGACATAAACATGTTTAAATCTGAGGCAAGGGGCCTCTTCACTCCCAGATTTTGATTTCAAGAAGGGCAAACAGCGCATGACAATTAACCAGTATAATGTTTTACATGTATTTTAGTAGTATTTTCTCCTGCCTGTCATGGTGGCACACGCTATAATCCCAGCACTCAGGAGATAGAGGCAGAAGAGTTACTTTGCGTTGGAGGATAGTCTGGGTTACATAAGGAGTTCAAGGACAGCCTGGACTATATAGCAAAATCTTATCTCAAAAAGGTTATTTTCATTTTGAGAAGGGGTTTTCTCCTCACACTGTTAACTGTTTCATTTTCTGTGAAGTTTTGTAGTTTGATACATTCCGATTTTTGCTTTTGTTGCCTGTGCTTCTGAGGTCTTAGCCCAGAAATCTTTTCCCCCTAGGTTTTCTTTCAACCATTTTCAAGTTTCAGGTCTAATCTGTCTATAACTTATTTTAAGTCAAATATTGCATAATGGATAAGATAAGGATGTAGCTTCATTCTTTTGAAAGTGGATATCCAATTTCCCCAATACCATTTATTGGAGAGACTTCTCCTTTTCCATAGTGTCTTCTAGTAGCCTTGTCAAAAAAAATTAATCAAAAATGTGTAAGTTGTTCCTGATGCATCTGTTTTTATGCCAATGCCATTCTGTTTTGATCACAATACCTTGTGTGATATACTTTTAAATCCAGTACTGTGATATCTTCAGGTTTTTTTGTTGTTGTTTTTGCTGTTTGTCTGGTCTGGTTTTTCGGTAGTCCTGGCTGGCCTAGAAATTGCTATGTAGACCAGGCTGGCTTCTATCGCTGAGAGATTGGCCTGCTTCTGCCTCCTGAGTGCTGAGATTAAGGGAACCACCACACCTGACACCATATGTCTAGTTTTT